CTCTCTACAGCTGTCCTATCCAATAAAACCATGAAAAGGCCAAAAATGAATAATAAGTATCAGTATAGACTGCTGCACTAGAAAATTACATTTTAATTTGTTTTAAATATTTTGCATTTCCTGTAAATTACTGATTAAAAATGAAAGATTTATCAACATCCAATTGTCTTTCTTCTCTTCTTCACCTGTCTTTCTTTGCACCAGGTGACGTTCACCAAGCGGAAGTTCGGTCTGATGAAGAAGGCGTATGAGCTGAGCGTCCTGTGCGACTGCGAGATCGCCCTCATCATCTTCAACCACTCCAACAAGCTGTTTCAGTACGCCAGCACCGACATGGACAAAGTTCTGCTCAAGTACACCGAGTACAACGAGCCGCACGAGAGCCGGACCAATGCGGACATCATCGAGGTAAAGCGTGGGAGGGGGGGGTGTGGTGGGTCAAACAACTGGAAATAAACTGTCATTACATTTCCCAAAAGGTTGAATTTGCCTAAATATAACACAGTGACATTGATGATGAAGTCCTCGAGTCAAGTCCAGTCCTTGTCATGTTTATGAAAGTTGGAAAATCAATTTGTTGTGTTCTTCTGTTTATCCTGGTCTCTGTTGGTTCAACCCACTACGAGTTTATTTTCCCCCAATGGGATCATTAAGATTGAACCTAAACTAATCTAATCTTGTCCTCTCCAGACTCATTCAGACTTAATTAAGTCTAGTCCAGTCTATCAATGCCAGTCCAGTTCATTACAATCCAGTCTGTTTAACTGAGTATGAACTGCTTCCCCATGTCTTTGGTCCAGGATGATCTGAAGTCTAGCCTTAAATCCAGCCTGGTCTTTTTTAGTAATAGCTTCTTTTTTTTTTTTTACAACAAATCTGTTAAAACTTCATCCCCACATGCCCAAAAGTTGTTGTATGTGCAAAAAGGAAACCAAAGTTACCATAGTTTCCAATGAATGAGGTCACTTTAAAGGTATAGTTTGACATTTTGGGAAATACTCTCATTTGCTTTCTTCCTGAGGGTCAATGTCACTCTTACGTCCAGGAGCCATTAGCAAAGCTTAGCTTAGCTTAGCTTAGCATATCACAATCAGAATCAGAAATACTTTATTAAAGAATGGAAGCAGCCAAAGGTTAAAAAAACATCTACTACCTACATGTTTTATCTAATATTTTTAATCAGTAGAAAAACCATTAGTCATTAGGCTAAGCTAACCGTCTCCTGGCTGTCATGAGAGTGGAATCAGTCCTCTCATCTAACTCTCGGCAAGAAGTGAATAAGCGGACTTTGCAAAATGTCAAACTATTGTTGAAAGGACAATGGGGAGAAATTGCAAATAAGATGCAGATTATACACCAGAGTCCCTTTCAAGACTGAAAGTGTTGACCCCTGTATATAACCCCCGGCACTCCCCTTGAGTCCGGTCCTGACCAGACTGCTGTTGTACACTATATCTTAGTGTAGACCGGTCCATTCCAGTCTAGTCTGGTCCAGTCCAGTCTGGTCCAGCTCTGAGCAGTTGAATCCAGTCTATCCCAGTGTTGTTTATGGCTGTACTTTGGCTGGCGTATTGCCTGCTAGCTTGCAGGGAGGGCAGAGGTAGGGACAGCTGGGCCTCACCCCTCCTCCCCGCCTTACCCCTCTGGCATCGGCACGGTTGTTACCCAGAGACCTCTCTGAACAACAACAACAACAACGACAGGCCAAAGGACGACGCCTGCAACCAATTGGAAACCACCTCGACACAAAATGGCCACCAGGTAGAAGAAAGGCCTGTCGAGCGGCTGAAAAAAATAGTGCTTGTTCATTTGCATATTGACTAGAAGAGAGGTCAGTGATGAGGTTAGGAGAGAAGGTGTGAGGGCAATCATTTAGTTCAGTTTTTATGTTTTTGTAATAGGAATACATTTTTTTCCTAACGTCTTTCCTCCCTGTGGGAAAAGGCTTCGCTGGAGCTCGTCAGGCGAACGCGGAGCACATTCACATGCCTTGCTGACCCTTTTATACATAATGGCCCTCTCATGAATTGAACACGAGATGGTTAGGTATGATTCAGCGAGCCGTGTACACTGCAGTACAGCACTTAGGCTTCATATGGAGCCTGGACTTAAAGCTGGATCTTGCTTGGCTTTGAATATTTTTCTCACTTGATGTTACACGAATTGCTGCAGGAGTTCACGATCGTTCAACCACAAACACTGTCAACATGAAGTCACCACCACTTATTTATTGTCATGTTGAAAGCTCCGGTTAAAGTCATATTCCAGCAACAACACACACAGCAGGGCAGAAAAAGTTATTAAAATGGAAGGTCTGCTTGTGATAGATTTAAGCCAATAAAATGAGTTCTGGTGAGAAAGTTAAAAGACCACAAAGTCTTAATCTGTTTCAATATGAGAATCGTGTGTATTTTTGAATTACTGGGAAATTTTGTCAAATTGGCCACATTATTTTGGAATAAAACCATTATTTCCACATCTGAAGCTAGGGTCTGATTGGATTAAGTAATATCTTGTGTTGGTAATAATCTAAAATGAGAACAGAGGAAAAATAATGATTTTAGTGGGAGTGAATCCCTAGGACTGCTTTCATCAGCTGCTCCTAAACTCCCACATCATCGCTATGCTAAGAAAACGAGAATATTCCAACAGAATTCCTGCCAGTTTTTTTATTTACAGCCTTTATGAACGAAACAGTACCTACCTGAGTCTCAGGAGTGGTGGTCTTTGGCACAAAATGATGAATTTTATTTCCCCCTTTTTCAGCCTGTTTTATCAAACAAGTTATTGGAAGAAGCCCATAGGCTTCAAAAATTGTTTGATTCATCTGGAAACCCCTGGGAGGCTCCTCCGACCTCTAACTACTGCTTCAAGGCATCACTCTTTTCCAAGTTATCTGAAGTTATCCACAAACATCTAAACCAATCGCTAGCTATCTGGTGTGCTGGAGGTGTTTTGAATAACTAATAGCCCCCTCTCCCTGCAACTTTTGCTTTGTGACTTCAACAAAAAGGTTAAGCGATTAATTTGTAGCATTCAAGAAATGACTTGATTACATTGTATGTCGTTATCAACCAGCTGTCTAACCTTTTAAGGTGTAATATTTGCTAAAAAATATCTACAAAGTTTGTCCAGTTACACGGACATATCTGAAATAATTGCGGCCCCTCGATTCACCCACGGCTCTTTTTTCAAGCCATGATGTTAACCCAGAGATGGTCTAAGGCTTTTGGTAAATGGTATTAAATTGTTTTTAATATCAAGAAAAGAACGGTAATAGTAGAAGCTCTCTGTACATTTCCACCAGAGAAATTCGGGTCTAGTTAGTTTAGTACCTGACCTCTTGACAAAGTTTGATGACTTGTTTTGTGAAGTGTGCTGTTTTTACATTCCCTTTTTGGCCTAATTGGCCTTATCTTCACAATTCTTCAGTTGTGGTGGAAATAAGGGGGGTGGATGTGACTTTTAGATTCTGGGTCGAAAAGGGGGCTTGAATTTTGTGGGCCCAAAGCAGAATACATCCAATGAGATTGAATCCAATAATGGAAAAAGTCCAATAAGGGCTGAAATCTCAGCGAAAGTGTTGGTGAAGCAATTTTGGATGTGAGTGGGCAGAAGGTACGAGTGAGGGAGCAGAGTTTGGTGCCACATTTTTCACCTCCACTTCCTCTCTTCCTGTCTTTCCTTCCTCCTAATCTCCTGAGTCACTCGGTCACGACCATTTCTCCCTTCTTTTCTTATCCTTCTCTCTCTGTCTGTCTCAGAGTGTCAGCAGTAAAGCCTTTCTGTAGGCTGTATCTCCAGCTGCAGATGGCTCTTAAGTGTATGCAAGTATGTGTGTGTGTGTGACGTGTGTGAGTGTCTGTGTGTGTGACGTGTGTGTGTGTGTGACAGGGCGTTGGGCTGCTTCGGGCCACATCAGCTCAAGCTCCACTGGCCCTGTTTGTGTGCGTACATGTGTTTGTGTTTTCAAGTGTGTCACTCTGTCTCTTTCTCTCTCTTTATGTGTGTGTGTGTGTGTGTGTGCAAAAATCCACCTCTCTCTCTCTCTGTTTGCACGCTCTGCAGTGGCCCATGAGAACGCCTCATACAATATTCAGGCCTGGTGAGCCTCTCGGTTGTGTGTCGGCCTCTGTCTGTCTGTCTGTGTGTGTGTTTGTGTGTGCGTGTCCTACATGAGCGCTTCCCCCCTATACCGGCCTGTATACCGCCCTCACACGTCTTCTCTGTAGGCCAGGAGGCATTTAGCAACTTTCGCTAGCGTTTGTCCTCAGCTGTCCCCTTTGCCAGATGTGCTGCAGCACACACCTCCTTGTTAAGCGGGTGTTAGCGTCATTTTCCGTTAATCCATATTATTTTCCATTTGCAGTGGCATTTTGCGTCATTGAGACTGGAAAAAGTCTACATTGGAGAAAAATAGCTAAATGCTAACAAAACAATATGACAATGTAAAAATCTGAAATGATAAACCTGTAAGGAAACTAGAAAATAGTTTATTTAGCTCTTAAATCTAGTGGAGAAAGTGGCCAATTCAGTTACACTATTCAAAGGATACAGTTATTAACATTTATATTATAAATGTTTCTTAATTTAAAAAAAATCTCATAAAAAATGTCACACAGTCTCACAAATGTATAGTTTATATAGTTTAAATGTGTAGAATAGAAAAGGCTCAGGAATATCTAAAAGCAACTGGCCTCTGTAGATTTTAACGTTACTCAAACAGAAGGGAATCGTGCATTTACTGGACTATTTTCAGTGGCGGATTAATCCACATTTGGGATTGACAGTGTGGCTCATTGATGTGTTTGACAGCAATGGAACTCTATGGCAAAGCGGAAGAAGACATATCAGCTTTTCGATCTTCACAAAACTTGTTAGTAGGATACATTCATTATTGGTTTTGAGATTTTTATGGGATTTGTTGACATTGAGAAAAATAGAGTATCACTAGACTTATTCTTTAATATAATACTTCATTATGTAGTCCCTTTATTCACCTCAAGTAAAAACAGAGCCAGGCTTTTATTTGAGACTGGCCTCTATTTGAGATTTTGTTGTTTGCCTGCTCCAGTTTCACATTAAAAGCTTTTCAGAGGTTTAAGGACGGTGTAATACCTTTACTTCCCTGGAAGGTTTATACTGTGAAACATTGACAGGAAGTGTTGAGTTTCATTAATGTTTGCTTAACATTGACAAAGAAAGTGGCGAAAGCAAAGAAAATCAATTTGAATGAATTTGTTCTATTTTTTCTCCAAACATTTATCTGCTTGAACAAACAAGCTGTTATATGAGACCAGATCATTGGCTTTTATTTGATTTAACACCTTTTTCATCATCATGTTTGTTTTAATTTAGCAGCAGTCTTATCTTTTCATAAGGTTTCTCTATCAGCCTCACAGTCTGTT